TAACGAGGGGGAGGAGCAACAAACCCCCAATTGAAACTCAGGTGTTAATGGCTCCATAAGGATATAAGTATGTGGATCTCCCAACTAGTCAGTCAGAGCTGATGAAGCCTCTTGGAAGAGAGGTGGAACGTCTTTAACAAACTCAAGCAGGTCCAGCTGATACGATTAATCTACCAGAAAAGAGTAACTGATCTTACTGTGCACAGGGCCTCTGTGGCATAGTGGTGCTTTAGGGATAAAACTGATTTGAATTAGGAGCTTTCTGCTGAGTTCTTATTATTGAGTACATTTATTGTGTGCTGAGCATGTACACATCACATCCTGGTTGCTGACTGTTTTGCAGACCTTTTGTTGGGGCCTTCAGTCCTGATTTAGAACTCCATCCTGATTTATTGTGCTTGTGTAGATGTGCCCCTCTGCTATCGTTTCACTTCTCTGTTTCCATAAACATAGGAAGAGATGTAATTAATCATCGTCTAAATTCAAACTCTCTCTGTAAATCTGTTGTTTTCGTTTACCTGACGCCTACTTTCAAGATTAGGTTTTTCCCAGACTGTTCAAAGGGATAGTCAAAGGCACACGTATTCCAAAATCAATTTACTCCTTGTAGAGGAATAACAAAGAAATGCACACTATCTGGCATTAAACTAATAAACTGAACAGTGGCTCAGGTGCACCGAGGCCTTTTCTTACAGGAAACTAAAGCAGCTAAATCGGTGATACCAGGCTTTGTGGACAAAAGGAATTTCACCTGTCAGAACACAGGAGCTGCTGCTCTGTTAGATCCAAACTAACACGCTAAAAAACACCAACGTCACACAATAACACAAACAAACTAATCAATCGAATCAAGGGGAAACCAGCCGCTCCGGTTTCCTGCAGGCTAAAATGATTGTATTTGCCAGCCATATGAAAGCGTCACTTCCCCCATTGGGAGGAGCTGCCTGATGGTGAAGCCTGCATATCAACCAGCTTGTATTGGAGGTAATATGATAAATGGATGGAAAAACAAAAACTGCCCCTTTAAAGGACAATGTATACTCTGTTATGTGCGCCTGAGCCACTGTCTGGATCTGCTTTATGTCAAACATGCATTTCTGTGTTATAATGCTGCAAATGAACTAGAAAATTTGCCTTCAGGATGCAGTCGTCCTCAAATTTATTCACACGCTTCCGTTAAAGAAAAGGCAAAATTCACAATAGTCACACAAATGACTAGAAACTGGAAAAAGTAATAATAAATAAAAATTTGCTAAATTATAATTTGGTGAATTGAGACATTGTTTTTGAATTGTGGTTGAAAAGAATATTTACAAAAAAAAAAAAAAAGAAAAGCTGTCCTGGACAAGTTCGAGCACTTTGCTGATGAGCAGTGGACCAAAATCAGAATACCTGAGAGCTACAGGAGACACTTGGG